AGTCTCCAAATTGATCACGTAATTACCAACATAAATACTAATTAATTAACTTAAAGATGGTCCCTGATATTGATGTGTTTCCTACCGCACAAACACGCGTGTCAGAATTCAATTGGTCTCAATAACTCAAGTCGTTGGGAGTTGTTCATGTGTAGATCTTAGTTACTTCTTTACATGTCTTCTCAAACGAAAAGTCCAGCTTATGAGGTTGAAGCTAGTTTGGACAGACTCGTTATACCACGTGTGTTGAAGATAATAGTTAATATTATGGGTCGTGAGGATTTGACCACGTGACATCAAAAACAACTCGACTCTGATACCATGTAAAAAAATCAGCAGGTTCTATTAAGTATACGACTAGCTCAATGTAATTGACTGATGGCCTCCTAGTTCAGAAGGTGTAACCTTTTTTTACTCCCATGTATTAAATTTTAACGAAAGTATCAAAGGCGGAATATAATGAAAATCAATTGTATTGGTTCAAGTGTGGTAGTAATATGAGATCAAGTTAATCGACTATAGCCTTTTGTTCCAAATTGATGGTGACAAAGTATTAGTGATAAATAAATAAATAATACGTGCTTTTAGTGACTAGTTTTTGTGGTTGCGAAAAGTGGAGTCGTCGTTGTGACTATGGGAGACGATAAAAGCAGTAAATGCATAAAAATATCCTATTCAAAAGAAGGGGAAACTTTAATCATGAAAAATAAAATAGATAAATTAAGTCATTGTCATGGTTTGGATTATCATCCATAATCTATCTCCATCTTTCATAAATCATTCACAATTGTCTTCTTTAATAATGACAATATTAAAGACGAAAATGGGAGATGACTCCTACACCATATAACCCAAAAACCTACGTTTAATAATTTTAAACGCATCAAAATTTAGGGTGCCTCTAAACATTCATGAGTTGGATCTTAATGTCGTGCCAAATAAATTAACTAAACAACTAATTCCATAGTTATCCGAGTAAACCCGATAAATTTGAATCGGGTGAACACAATAAAATATCATTAAGGTAGATTATTACGATCATTTCAATACGATACACATTAAGATGTTTTCGGGAATCACACACGTTGTACACAATCATTCCACTCAACCCCTTTGGCACTTTCGCAACCAACCCTTCGAATGGGTACGTACGACCCGACGACCGACTAAAAAATCAAAGAAACTTTGGTCTCTACGTATTATCATTTTAGCGTAAGTCTTTCTACATATTCTAACTTCCCTTGGCAAGAAAGTAACTTGGGCAGGAAGGCGGTTGCTGGACCCAAAACTGTCTATATAGCCAGCTAGCTGTGATCTTTAATGACCGGACCACTATCGGCAACCAAAAAATGGCCCCTCCTCAAAGTGAAAGAGGGTTCGCGATCCGACCTTATTGACGCTAAAACGTGGACCTTTTGGCCACCAATGGCAATATCATGATATTGTCTACCTAAAGAACTTAAAGTCGAGATTTTGTAAAGAAGCTTTTGATCGATCGAGAGAGAGAAAAAAACAAAATGGTGATCGGATTCAAAGTGTTCAAATGGGTAATCATTCATGTCGACCCATAAATTACGCCCTCCTTTTGTGACCAAATCTCTCAGACCATACGAGTAGTTGACGGATATCTCGTAACATCAAGTTACTTCTAATTGGTAGGCAAAAGTATCAGATACGGCTAATTCGCAGAAACTAAATACGATTATTGGACCGAAATGGTGATATGTGTTGTATACCATTTTATCATAAATTACAGTAAAATTTTGAAGCCAGACACCTAGCTATTAAAAATTACTACTCGCCAAATATCGTTTGTAGCTTGTGTTGTATTGATGGAATCTCCATCTAATAAGATGTCATCTCACTGTGCAAAGATACAAACTAGCTAGTCGATAATAAACGTTGATTAATTATCCAATATTGGACCAAATGGCACGATCCTAGCCAAGTATCGTAACAAAACCTTCCCTTAATTAATTATACCTACTTAATCAGTATAAATATTGCTAAAAATCCCAATTAATTAGCTGATATCATGTATCATGCGCATAGGAAACCCATCCTACGAATACCCGCCATTTGTTTACCGACCATTACTAATCACTGCTTAAACATCATCATCCTCCCCATCCCCACTAATTAATTAACAAAAACGGGACAAAATCGATATTAATCAATCTAATAATCGTTATCATTACCATAATCTCTCCCGTTACTCGAGTCATTACAAAATTCTGAATTCCGTCACGACAAATAACAACTTGGTGATTAATTAATTCATTACTTTATAATGACAGCAATAAAGAAAACAAAACGGCAACATTTCAACAACAGCTGAACCGGCTTCACCGGCCACGACAGAATGGCCGGTCACCAGATCGCCGGCAGGTCGCCATCATATAATAATAATAATAATTAACCTTCTAGTTACCCTCTAATTTCTGTCTAATTAATCCATATCCGTCGATGATCCCAAAATTCGTACTACTCATCTTCATTTAGAAGTATCCGTATGTACTCTTCTTCTTCCCTATTACGTACAACTCTTTAAATTTCCATTATTAATATTCACAATTTAATTTTTTTAAAAATCTTTCTTTCGCCGTCCGACGATCGATCACATCAAGGAGCAGGCGTTGGGATTCTCGTCGCTGAAGAACTGAGGCGCGTGGCCTGGGTGCTGTGGCCCCACCATCATCGGGTACCCCGCCGGCGCCGGCGGCCCCATCATGTACGACTCCTGATGGTGCCCGTAGCCATCGTACCCGCCGCTGGCGACGGCGGCGTTCACCATCATCGGCGCGTACCCGTGCTGGACGTACTGCGGCTCCATCGCGTAGTGTTGCATCTGCTGACGTGGCTCCACGTAGTAGCTGCTCTGTCCGTACGATCCCTCGCCGGCCCAGTAGCTTGACTCCGCCGCCTGCCCGTAGCTACCGTAGTACTCCATCTTGTTCACCTCCACCTTCGGCGCTCCTCCGCCGCCGCCGCCGGCGGGAGCAGCCGCGGCATCTACCTTCTTCTTCCCGCCGCCGTCACCTTCCTTCTTCTCTCCCTTCGGCGCTTGACCACCACCGCCGCCTCCTCCTCCTTCTTTCCCTTTCTCCTTATTATCCTTCTTCTCGCCTCCTCCACCGCCGCCGGCGGCGGCGGCGTCCTTCTTCTCAGCCGGCGGGGGGATAACATCTACCGTCCGTTTGAGCTTCTCCCTCAGGTAAGGAGCCAGCTCCTTAACGTCCATCGTGCCTTTCACCGTTACCAAGTCCTTGGCTCCGTCAACCGCCACGCTGGCAACGCCTGTGTATTAGGAAGAATCGAGAGACAAACGCCACGTCAGATCATCATCACCACTAATTTTTTTTTTTTAAATATTGCCACCAAATTCTGACTTTCAGAAATGGTAACCACCCACCAATATATTTAAAATCTTAATTACAGTTTGATTTAAGTTTTTTAAGCTGACCTTTGATCTTGAGGATGATCTTCTTCATCTTGTGGATGCAGCCGTCGCAGTGGGTTCTGATCTTCAGCACAACGGTACTCTGTAACCGCAGGGGATAAAAACCCAGAGATTAATTAGCAATATGAAACGGGAATTCAGTATTTACGGCATTAATAAACCTCGCTTTAAGAGTTTTTAAAAAACGGCTGGATGTATTAGTTGGCATTCATTAATTAATTAATGACGCAATAAAGTAATTAGAAGTAACTACCTCTTTAGGTGGAGCCGGTTTCTTCTCCTCCGGTTTTTTCTCCTCCGCCTTCTTCTCTGCTTTCTCGCCGCCGCCTCCTCCTCCCTTCTTCTCGCCGGCGGGAGGTGCGCCGCCGCCTCCACCACCACCGCCGCCTTCCTTCTTAGGCTGGGGCGAGACAATATCCACCTTCTTCTTGGTTTTCTCCTCCACCCTGGCCTTCACCCGGCCGGGATCCACCTTCCCGGTCACCGTCAGTTTGTTGGACGAACAGTCCGTTTTCACGTCTTCCACACCTGCCAAAAAAAAGAGGCGTCTCAGCAACCGGTTTGAATCTAATTTATCACAATCTCGATTTCTTCAATTATTTCTCAAGCGAATTCCGATTCAGATCTGAAATCGATCGGGGAAGAGAGCCGAGGGAGGATTGGAATTTACCTTCCATGTGCTTGAGAGCGCGCCGGATTTTCTTCGCGCATCCCTCGCAATGCATGTCCATCTTGTAGACGGAGACGGCCTTCCCACCGCCGTCGTCCTTCTTCTCTCCTCCACCACCGCCGGCCGCCGGAGCGGCGGCGGCGGGCTTCTTCTCGCCTTCGCCCTTCCCTCCTCCGTCTTTCTGCAAACACAGGACAGAAAACAAAAACTCGTCAGGATTACAGCGGACACAGCCGGAGAAATCGATTTTTTTTTCATCCGGAATTCCAACTCTGTTGGCGGAATTCCGTTGAACGGAAGGGAAAACAGAACGAACCTCGGCACCCATTGGAATCAGGAGTTTCTCTTGTTGAACTTTGGGTAGATAATAATTGGAGTATTGGACTCTGTTTTTGGTAGTAGAGAGATCAGAGAAGTGAGGATTTTCGAGGAAGTTTGTTTATTTGAAGGGAGCTAAGGGAGGAGGGAAGGTTGGAATATATAGGCAGGGGAATGCCGGTGGCGTGAGTTTTCATATTATGGGATGGATGTGTTATGTTATGTTATGTATTGTATGTATGTATATATGTATGTATGGATCGGATGCCGCCTGGTTGGACTAATGGTTGTCTTGAAACGACGGCTTCATGACAAAATCCATTGGTTGGATGGAGGGGTTTTCTTTGACTTGACCCGGCGAGGGGCCCTCTCGTCATTTCTAGATTGACTGAATTAATCGTTCTGATAATTATTATACTGGATTCCTATTTGCAGCCCTAAGTTTTTAAAATTTCAGCCCTAAATAAACTGAACAGACAAAATTACCCCTCCAACCATTTTCAATCGAAGCCCTAATCCCCTAATCTGTCTCGCTGCCGTCGTTCGCCATTTATGAGCGCCGCCGCCGCCGTTCGCCCTCCCGTCGCAGGAAGCCCCCTCCCTCCAACCCTTTCCTGGATGAGCGCGGCCGCCGTTCTCCCTCCAACCCTTTCCTGGACTCGGAATTCCAGGAAGAACGGCGGCTTGGCTGCGACGGAGGAGCTGGGCGATGTTCATCCAGGGAGAACGATGAACATATTAACCATTCGCCGCCCTAATCCCAAACCATTCGCCGCCCTAATCCCAAACCATCGCATCCCTAATTTGCGATGACCGGCGCCGCCCTAATCCCTAAAATCCTGCTCATTTAATTGACCGGCGGCTGACGAAAATTGCGCGGCTGCTTCGCCCCGTCTCCGTCTCCGCCGCCAGAATCCCGCCACGCCGGCCGTCTCTGCTACTATTGGGAGGAAGAAGGAACCGTCGCGCCGAGCAGGAATCGCGATCGAGGAAGGAGGAGGAAGAAGACGGATCAAGGAATAGCGCTGAGCACTCCGACGAAGATGGAACCGTCGCGCTGAGTACTCCGCCCCACCGGTTCAATCGTCTGCCGGTCTATGGTTTTCGGAGGAGTAAGATGGAACCGTCGCGCCGAGCAGGAACCGCGATCGAGGAAGGAGGAGGAAGAAGGATCGAGGAATCGCGCGTCTGGTGATTGTTGCTGCCAACTGTGACCGAGGGAGAATGGCGGCGGCGGCGGCGGCGCTCATCCAGGAAAGGGTTGGAGGGAGGGGGCTTCCTGCGACGGGAGGGCGAACGGCGGCGGCGGCGCTCATAAATGGCGAACGGCGGCGGCGAGACAGATTAGGGGATTAGGGCTTCGATTGAAAATGGTTGGAGGGGTAATTTTGTCTGTTCAGTTTATTTAGGGCTGAAATTTTAAAAATTTAGGGCTGCAAATAGTACCTCCCTTATTATAGCGTTATCTTTTGATATCATTTGGCTCTTGAACGTGTGAATTTATCGAATTTTATGTTGTACGTGTTTTCATCATCGTTTAAAAATGCGTTAATTAATTTTACGTTGTTTCATTGCTGAAGTTAATGTTCATACATGAAAGTTGAGAGATTGGGGGGTCGAAGAGGTGAAATAACCCCTTCTGGTTGGACGGGCGCCCTCATACAGGACATCGGTTGGTGTTTTGGTTAGGACAAAGATCTGGTGGAGTAAAGGCATTGCGCGTGCAACTTTAAATGAATTCCGTGGGGGGGTTTCATCGATTCGTTAATGGTTTAAAACATTCGAATTGATAAGGTCATCAATGATGTTTTTCATTATACCTTTGCGTTGCTCTGTTCTCTGATCGGGCTTAGTCCAAATCATCAATCGGAGGATCGTTAGTTGTTAATAAGACTTTAGTTTCCATTGATACCAGGATGAGTAGGTCTTGACCATGGTTAATTAGTTGTTTTTCATTAAACCATGGTTTCAAACACAAGGTTTTAAAATTTAGACAAAGTATACCATAATAAAATCGTATAAGCTTAATCTCTAATACGCGAGTTGAGCAACACAATTTGTCAGTAATGGGATTTGTATCACAGCTCAACTTATTACAATTTTGGGTTATTTGGATTTCACATTGGTTCTCCAACTGTATTTCTTTGTTTATAGTGTCCACGAGAGACCTCCGTCAGGTGAAAATGGAACAAACTATAAATAAATAAAAATTAGCCTGGACGTGGTGTGGCTCATATTCCGGCCGTCTTATGCAAAACACAAAGATGGATATTTCATATTTCCTAATGTTTTTTTATTTCTTCTTATCTACTTCCCCGCAAGTTAGATGTGGAAATGAAATAGATATTTGGACTATGCTAATTTTGTTTTATATATATATGGGTTAGAGAGCAATTAAAAAGTAATCAAACCAACCACCATTGATTAGAGAAAAAAACATTGAATTTGTTTTCTTGGAAAATTGAACTAGTTTCGGATTAAAGTTCCCTATAAACCATGCATGCAAATTGGGGTTATACGTATATAATAACAATATACGTACTCATTTTTTTTTATCATTTTTTATATGAGAAAGTTCAATCTAAAAAATGGATTAATTCTTTACTCTTCGAATACCCAATAAACTCATAAAAATAATTAGCACGAGCATATAATAATCGTATACATAGCCATCATGCATAGTGATAAAGCAGGAATGATGGTCGACAAAACTCAAATACGATACATCTTCAATTATAGTCACTCCAAAGGGTAAAATATATATATCTTCTCAATTCTCACCATTCTTATAGTGTATGAGACAAATATATGCATTTTAATTAGGGTCTGAACCTTTTGATAATTGTATATACTAATTTCACATGTAGATAATTTCTATGGAAAAGACCAAGGAACAAACACCTAGCATATATGTGTGCATTTTATTTTCATCAATCTTTAATTGATCGAGTAACATGATTAACAACAAGATATTATGTCCCATACGCTTTCAATTACTACTTAAATATTATAATATAGGCTACTGCATTTCCATTAAGCTTATTTGAACTTTTTGCACGCCGGTCCAAACGGAAGATCAATTTTTAGGCATCAAGGATTGTATTTATGTACCTATCAAAACGTTTTAACCCTTTTATATACATTCATGAACTTAATTAATCATCTTAGCTTATCAAAACAGATTTGTTTCATACCCAATTAACTTTCTTCCCGGCGCTGCTTGGAGAAGTTAATTACACGTTGTAAATCAGTACTTTTTGTAAATAACTGACAAAACTATATGTGGAGTTTTAGGTTGGTTCAGTGGTTAAGTGATAATAGTGACGAAAACATATCGATACAATTAGATGAGTGAACTATTCATGAATCTGGTCATCGATTGAAATTGACAAAAAAATGTAAAGTTTTGCACAATCAACTTATTGTCATGATTCTCATAAAACATCAAGAAACAAAAAGCTTGTATCTAGGTGGACGATACATTATGAAGTTATGAATTGATGCGACCCTTTTAAATCAGCCAATCAAGTTCAATTCCTCACGAGTTTTCATAAATTCTTGCTATATTTGCATACTAAACCTTGTAGTTAGATGATACATCTTGAAGCTATGAATTGATGCCATGTTCTATTCCTCTCGGAATTTTCATAATCCTTGCTATATTTTAATACTAAACTTATTGAAACACATACATTACATCTAGCCTATTATTCCCTTGTTTGAAACCTTCCAATTTAGTGGTTTCCCTATGGGCCAAAAACTCCTACAAGTATCGAAAAATCCTAGAGATACAACTATTAGTTAACAAGAAAAATATTATGATTTTTTTTTCGGAAAGTCGATTTCAGGGGTTTAATCAGCCACTCTCCCACGCAATAATAGAAATCATTATTCATATATTGACAAATGATGTTCATAATAACCAGGGTTATTAAAGCCGAGCCGCTCGGCCCAACCGATAAAACCGTCACCCGGTCACAAAATCGACTCGGAACAGTCTAAAAGCCGCTCCAGTTTTATGTAGTGGTTGGCGAGCGGCCGATGCGGTTAGCCGTTCGAGCCGATCGAGCCGCTCGTCCGGTTTTTGCCATCCAGCCACTAAATTTAATTAAAAAAATTGTAGAAAATTGAAAAACAAAAAACGTCGGGCTCTCAAATTGAATCCTTATTTCCATTTCACAATTTCGAAGGAAAGAGATGAGCTCTGATTAAGAAATGTCCACTATTTATACTGATAACGTTTATTAGGTACCGGTTGTCTAACGGATTTTAAACGGTCTAATGCCGGTTGGACCACTAAAGTGTGAGCCGTTCGCATTACCGGGTCATGCTCCGGTTCGGTTCTGACAACATTAATAATAACTATTGTATTGTGTCCAAAGTTTGGAAATATGTAGAACAAACAAATTTGACTTTGTTGGTCATTAGGGATTTCATGCTCTGCTTACGTAATCCATGATGCAAAACTTGATTATAACCAAATTGAAACGATCCACTTCCTTTCTATTTCACCTTCCTGGGAAGAAAAAATAGTTGATTGTTCAGTTGGAGCTCGAGCCCACCAGAAGGCAGCGGTTGTACCAATGGCGTTGGGTGAGGCACATTCATGAAACCAACGACCATCGAGACCTTCATGGTTGATTCCTTAATAAGAAACCCCACTTTCAAGATTGTAGTCATTAAGAGATTAGATTAACGGGTTGGTTGGATGCATTATTTGGTTGTCGATACTCGATAGAGTTAGTGCCGAATGACCCGCGCGTTCTTTACAGTTTGCGGAATATTAGTGAGTACACGGCTAAAGGCTAAAACCATGATACCATATGAAGAATCAATCTATTATACAAAAAAAAAAAAAAAAAAAAAAAAAAAAAAAAAAACGTGTTGGTTTTATGTCATTCGCCTATAGTGCATCACTAAACAGTAGTAAAAAAAAATTCATTATTTTGTCAATAAATAGTATCTACTATCTTTACGTAAGAGAAAAGGTTCAAGATTCATTTAGAACCTCTCAAACGAGTTATCAGGACCAAGTAGATATTGACATGATATAATTAGAGTCGATAATGATCAAGAGTTGTGTTTCAATTCTCACTATCTCCACTATGACCGAATAGTTTAAACATAAAGTACGAATTTCAAGTCCTTAAATTAATTTTTCGTCTCTCGATAAATTGGCATACTATACAGTAATAACATAAAATCGAGATTCATAATATATATTACAACAACTCAAGTTACTGAGCTTTTCCGTAAACTCTCTACATTGTTCATCGGCGGATCTAGGGCTGGGCCAACCCGGGCCATGGCCCAGCCCTCCGCCGGATCCAGAGCTAGTGTAGAGCTTACAAATTTTTCGATTTAGGTATTCGGCCCATTCTTATTTAATGGTCGGTCGAGTGTTATTTGATCATAATTTTGTGTAGTTAGAAAAATGGTATAGATGAACATATGCAAATCATTACTCTCAATTTAGTTTAGGAATTCTAGCCCGAATGATTTTCATTTGAAAAAAAAAAACAATAAAACCTAAAAGTCTAAAATGTAAAAGAATGTACAAAGTTTCATTGAAATAAGAAAACCCTCTAAACAAATTGATTTGTGGGTTGATTCGTCTAGTGTTGACCTTGCCCGTTTCAGCGGCTACCATGGAGAGAACATTTTAAGCAATGAAATATGTGGAAACTAATTTTGAGTAAATACAATTTATTAGTTAAACCTTTTAGACTTTCCAAATTATTAGCCAAACATTTCGAAATACAAGATATTAGCTAAATATTTTGTAACGCATCAAAATATAAGTCATTTGTCTGTTATCGTTGGTAATCTTGTAACTATTTTTTTATTTGAAATACTAAAATTTAAAAATATTGACTATTTTTGTTTACGGTATATAATATTATATTGAAATGCGGCCCTATGCTCTACTGTGTTCTGTATCCGCCACTGACATTGTTCCTACGGCTCATGAAACTTGAATCTATCACTTCAGCGGTTCAACATCGCCTTCATCCCACTGAGATATGGCTTGGCCAAAAGTCAGATGGTGATTACAATAGTATGAATAGAAAAAACTGCACCTGTTACTGTTAGTACCATGATTGTCATGAAATGGATGGTTAATCCTAAAGCGATCTCGAAATTAACTTCGATTGGGACTCTTTTTTTCCCCTTTTCACGGGCCCTCATATCACTCGATTGCATAGGCTGCGCACTGGAAATTTCCGGGAACATGTTTGCACTAACCAGTCTAATTTGGTCCAAATAAACCCTTCTTTGACTAATTTGTTATTAGGTTCAATTCAAGGTCTTGAGAGCATCAATACCAAATATAATCCTTATTTGGGAACATTACTACTATCCTGAGATACCAGAGAGGAAAATCAGCAAATATTGTAACGATTCAAATCAAATATTTCGAGGGAGCACTTCTACTATGTTATATAGTATTGGTGCTTTAATATACAATTTAAAGTTGTACCATAACATTAAATGTATAAGGTTAGGTTGTACCATAAAAGATTTTGTACAAAAAGTATAGGTACAATATGAAGTTGTACCACAACGTAAATGTACATGATATTAAGTTGTACCATAAAAGCAAAACCCTCTAGCACCAATACTATATAGCATTGTAAAATTTCTCTATTTCGAGACACAATACTACTCTATTTCCTTTTGTCGATGAATGATAGCTCTACATCATGGTTGTCACGCCGGCCGGCGTGCCACCGGTTGTACCGGGTTCAACCGATACCGGTCATAAGGACCGATATACGAATCTCTAAGTAAATTGACCTTATTTTAGAGAATTTAATTGATAAAAATTATTTTATTATTAATTTTATGAGTATAAAAGTTAAATATTGATGTTATTTGTTGGATTCAAGTATAAATTATTAGGTATTGACGTTAAATGTCATGTTTAAATATGATTATTTATAATTTTGTTTGTAATATTGACCGACATGAACCGGCACAAACCAATATGTGCCACGGGTTGAACCATTCCACTTGCTAAACCGGCACACTGGCATAAATCGGTTTGACAACCTTGCTCTACATTTACTGTTGCATACACAACCAAGACGAAAAGGTTGAAATCAGCAGAGATTCTACGTATTCAAACTCGATACCTTGAGAGACGATATCATTGACTTGTTGTGGTACTAATGCTAGACTCGAATTTTTGTTGCACTTCGAATGAGATGTTGTGTTTCAACTTCAAGTTCGCTCTTCGACTCTTGGGCCTTCAGTCAAGCGGACTGCTCTCTCCGCTTATGGGCCATTTTCTTACGTATCCTGTCGGCCCACTAAGATTACCGAAAGTTTGCTGGGAAGTGGGAACCAATCTGCGCCGTTTTTTGGGCCGGGCCCAACGAGGTAGCGGACCACATACCGTTACCCGCCGAAGTAATCTCTTGGTCGCCGTAACGACTGATCCCGCTAAGCTGTGGGAAAATTTTCAGCGCGCCTTCTCTCTCTCTCTCTCTCTCTCCTCGCCTCCGCCGCTCGGCCGCGCTCTTGCCGCCGGCGATGACTTCTCCACTTCGCGTCGTCAGTCCGCTCCTCGTGCTCCACCTGAAACCTGTCCTCACTTCACTCCCTCAGCTTTCTCGCTCCTTTCTTTCGCCGCGTAGGCTCTTCGCGCCAATCAACCCTAGAGCTCTCTTGTGTACCGCAGCCGCGCGTGACCATGGCGGGAGGTCGGGCGCCCTGACTGGACCTCCGGTGATGGAGGAGGAAGAATTGGTGGCCAAAATCGACGTCAATCCTCCTAAAGGAACTAGAGATTTCCCTCCCGAGGAAATGCGCCTCCGCAACTGGCTCTTCCACAACTTCAAAGAGGTAACAACAGAAATAGAACTGTCCTATTGTGTGGGACAGTGACTGCAATGGCTTCCGTTATGTGTAAATTTCTGAGTGGAATTTGTTTGTTTGAAGGTTTCGCGGTTGTATGGATTCGAAGAGGTTGATTTCCCTGTGTTGGAGTCGGAGGCTTTGTTCATTAGGAAAGCTGGAGAGGAAATTAGGGACCAGGTTGGTATGCCAGTCCGAAAATGTTTGAGTTCTCAGCCATAGCTTGAACCAATTTTGTGATGTGGATGAAGGAGAAGTAAACTGCAGTGTGATTGCTCTGCTCAATTGCTGGTGCTTGGGACTCTTAACTAAAATGCTTTATACAGGAAAACGCATTGTGGGTTGTGAATGCTTTCCCTCCCTAAAAGTTTCCCTTCTTTGTGCAGTTATACTGTTTCGAAGATCGTGGGAATCGCCGTGTTGCTTTGAGGCCTGAGCTGACTCCTTCACTGGCAAGACTGGTCATTCAGAGAGGGTACTCAAACTTCAGCCGCATTCGCTACCTGCTATTTTTTTTTTCTTCTTTCTAATTGATGTTTCTGCTCGACCCGCATTGCTGTTTTGATGTTTGAAGACTTAAAAACCTGTGTGTTAATTTGAGTATTGCTTATATTTTTGTATCCAGGTACAGATGCCAGAATTGATCTCCATGTTTTTTTTGGTCCAGAAAATCTGCACCTTTGCCATTAAAGTGGTTTGCTGTTGGACAGTGTTGGCGGTATGAGAGGATGACAAGAGGAAGACGACGTGAGCACTACCAGTGGAATATGGATATTATTGGTGTACCTGAAGTTACTGTAAGTCATGCCATTTTCTCCTATATTAGCTCTAAGATAAAAGGCCTTGTAATGGAAGATTTTCCCACACTTCATGCCGCTTATAAGCATTACCTTAGTGTGGCATTTCCCCCTCATTATGTTTGTAGATTATTGGATTTATGGACACTGTGGAGTTTTATATTGTAGGCTGAAGCAGAGCTTATTTCTTCTATTGTTACATTTTTCAAACGAATTGGAATCACAGCTTCTGATGTTGGATTCAAGGTTTCTAGCCGAAAGGTACTTCCCTTTCCTTTTCACTTGAGCTACTATGCGAGTCTTAAATTAATGCAAATATTGTGATCTTCTACTAATTGGTGTCCTATTGTGGCAACTTAAACTTGTCTTGATATGTGGTTATTGAAGTTCATGAATTCTGATGATTCTTCCTTAATTGACTGGTAACCTTGTGTTAACTGTCCTAAGAATCTGTTGATTCATTTTAGAGCCAACATTTGTTGCTTGGAATTTGTCCCTAGTCTAATGCATTTTCTACAGTCAGTACTTAGTTAGTTTGAGAATTGAATTGTTCTGGCAACTCGTTTTACAATTTGGAATAGTATAATAATAAGTGGCAATGCTGAACTTTCTTCTGGTTTAAAACAGGTTTTGCAGGAATTGTTGAGGCGTTACTCTCTATCGGAGAATGCGTTCGGCAAGGTCTGCGTGATAATAGACAAGGTTGGTTACTGAATATCTATTATCTGATCACCTATGGTCGATTGGTTTCTGCTCTCCAGGCAATTTCTTGTTATATTAACAAACTCCAGTCCGTGATTGTCTTTAGAGTACTTAACTTGTGTTGGGTTCACATCTTTGTGCTTGGTATTTAAGCTGATGTGGCTTTGGTGGATGGTGTAACAGATTGAGAAGATGCCAATAGAAGAAATTAAGAAAGACTTGACATCTGTTGGTTTGTCAGAAGATGTCATCAAGGAGCTGCTGCAAGTTCTTTCCATAAAGTCCTTGGCAGAGTTGGAAGGTAGGTTCATTCGTTATGTCATCTTCAAGCTTCCCTTTTCATCTCCATATTCTCAACTTCTGTGAAGTATAGTGTTTAAATTTAGTATAATCATAATTTAGAACTTTAAGTTAAGTAGTCATCTCTCTCATCCTTTTTCTGTTGTTGGTGTGTATCTTCCAACACTTCAGAAGAACAAAGATGAAATAAAAACTGATTTGAGCATGATGAGTTATGACATTTGGTCACCAGTGGGATAGTCATCTAATGATATGAAGTGTTCTGTTGGTGTAGATATACTTGGTTCAGGGGAAGCGATTGCCGATCTAAAATATCTCTTCTCTCTGGCTGAGAAGTTTGGTTACTCTGATTGGATTCAATTTGATGCATCAGTAGTTCGTGGTCTTGCCTATTATACCGGTATAGTTTTCGAGGTCAGTTTTACTGTACAATCTTGCCTGTTGAGTAGTTATATATTTCTTCAGTTTAGGAAATAGTCATTCTACCAGCTCTCGTGATTGTGGTGTGTATGATTTCAGTTGCTTAATAAATCCAATTTTTCCATCAGGGTTTCGACAGAGCAGGAAAGTTGAGAGCCATTTGTGGTGGCGGGAGATACGATCGGTTACTCTCGACCTTCGGCGGAGACGATCTTCCAGCCTGTGGCTTTGGATTTGGGGATGCTGTCATTGTCGAAGTAAGCCTACAATACTCCCCTCCATTATCTTTGTCACTCGACAACAGTATCATTCTCTTGACTAATTCTCCATGTGCCTACCATTCCAGCTCCTAAAGGAGAAGCATCTCTTACCAGAACTAAGCCTCCAAGTAGACAACATAGTGTGCGCTCTTGATCCAGACCTTCGAGGAGCAGCTGCAACCGTTGCTACAATTCTCAGAGGGAAAGGCCAAAGCACCGATCTAGTCCTGGAAAACAAACCCTTGAAATGGTATATATATCAACTCCATAGCTTCCTCGATCTCATGTCTGTTATATTTCTTAAAGTTTGTTACTCAAAACATGGTGCTTGCATCGACAGGGTCTTCAAACGGGCAGCACGAGCAAATGCACAGAGGCTTATACTGGTGGGCACAAAAGAGTGGGAAAAGGGTATGGTTGGTGTAAAAATCCTAGCTTCAGGTGAACAATATGAGATTAAGGTTGATGAACTAGATTAGTTCTCACAAGTTTGACCATTAAGGTTCGTGTGTAGCGGTCTGATAATTTATAATTTGAATGCATTCTTGTGACCTAACTATAGGTGAAAAGTAAAACATGATGTTTTTCGTTTCTTGAGCTTCAATTGTTGTTCTTTCCTTGAGGTTCAATTTACATGAATGGACTTAGGGCCTCTGATTTGGGCCAGACCCGATGAGTGAGAGATGTGAAGTTGAGTACCTAAAGTCCAGCTGATAATTTTTTCCCATTATTGTACTGTTAAATCACTCTGTGATTAAAATACAAAAAGATTCAGTAATCTGCTTTCTTTGATTTTGTCGATGGGGATTGTCCACTCTCCGCCCCAAGGTTACCGTTATAATGTTTTTTTCATTATCCGCCCCTACCTGCACTTGGTGCGGGACAAGAATGGCTATGAGATACCTGCTCCGTCCCACCCGTTTGCCATCCATACGTGTTGGGAAAGCGGCTTCTTGATTTCATAAGGCTCACGTCATTTTTAAATTCTGCTGAACTTTTATTGCAAACAAACAAATTGTATTGAATATTAATTGAATGAACCTCTCATTTTACATGATGCACATCTAACTTCTAACTTTTTGACTTATAAAAAATGCTTCTAAGTGTTTTGAGGTCTTAGGTGTGACCTAGTACAAATATGCATTGAATATACGAATTTATATGCTAGTTTGGAATTCACTGAATCTTACTCACTTACACAACATCTCTTGTAGAAGTAGAAGATCCCTTATTGATAAAACTGTAAAATCTATATCTCTCTATATTTTTCTTTTTAGAGTGGAAAAAATTCATAGGTCTTGTTATCTATGAATATAAAGATATTTAGTTTACTCCAACATCTCAAGTATAGTTTCTTAATGAAAATTTTCAACCAATACATGCCTAACACGTTAATCGTTCTCAGCTTTTAGGTATCACCTAGGAACTACTATATATTGGACGATCATGCTCATTACAAGCGGGTATATGGAAGTCACACCAATCATCACACCACACTCAAAGTTAGCTTCTTAGATGAGACTATAGCTAGGAAGCATCCATGTCAAGCCTTCTAATATGCCATATAAGGTCAAGTTTTTATGGAATTCATGTTCTACATATGAACCTTTTCATGCTTGCTGCCAAGTTCTGACTTCATGAAGCTTGACCCTAAAAAATCATTTTAATGTTTTGCTTAACAAAAATTAAAGGGAATTGATTAACACATGCCATGAGATCTACTTGGCTTTTGCCACATGCAAAGAATTGGATTTTGACCAACTTTTTCTTTATATCCATTGTTGTGGTGCTTATTACTCTCACAAGGTAAAAAGACACTAACTTTCAATGAGCCCATCAATTGTTATTATTGTATCCTTCTTTTGGCCCCCTCACCACAACCTTTCTTTTAACCTTTCCTTGAGGCTGAAGCATCCTCCTTTGCCAAAGTGAAGATAGCTAGATGACCAATGTTCTCTCATGTGTGTATGTGGGGGAACTTTCCTCCACATGTTGTGAAGTTTTAGCTTCGATTATGGCTTTTTGTTATGTATGTACTATCTAATTTGTCGAGAATTTGGAGAGTACAAAGAAATTTTTATGTGCAAGTACAACTAGGGCAAATCAAACGGGAACCCAGACATTGGAAGAATAAACTTTCTGGTGTTTTGTCGGTTGATTGATTATGAGTAGTTTACAGTAAAAATTGCACTCCATTTGTGTTATATCGTTTGTTAGTTTGTACTACGAAATGTATACAACAAACTTGAAATGATGATACAGTATATCACATGGTTGAACACATATGTTGTTTTTTTTATCAAAATGTTCATTCATTCAATAGCAATTCAACTTTCTTTTTATGATGCGTCTTTTATTGAGATTTCATGCATTGAAATAACCGTTTCGACCATTTTCCAGTCTCTAGAATCGACAACAAAGAAAGAGTTTGGACTTTCAGTGCCAAACATACAAATGGTCCCAATCTATAACATGATCATGCAAGACATGGGTTGTCAAATTCGTATTTTATGATTGCTAGGTATTTAATTTCTCTACAAATATATTTTGTTCCGTTCTATCTTTTTTATATGCTTGTTCTATTTACTAATCAAACTGATAATCCATTCAACCATCACGTAACCCCTAACTCCAATTTGATCAGTAATTAATAATTACAGACCAACAAATAATTAAATGAACAAAATTTTACCACCCAAATTGAAGAAAAAAAATGGTGGAACGAAATTGCAAATTAATAGCGAAAGCCCAAAACAATAAGCAAAACAATTAAAAAACAAAAGAAAAAAGAGGGAAAATAAATAAAATATAAATAATAACAGCTTTATTACTCGTTAAAAGTCTAAACCCTCAAATTTCCCTCTTTTCTCATCAGCTTCAAACCCACCTCTCTCCCCCACTCTCGTTCTTCTCCTCCTACCCACTCTCGCCCCACATCTTCCCCTCACCTCACACACAGATCAACAAAACGCCATCTCCAAATTCCAATCCAGAAAATCCCTTCCGGCGAACCGGCCGGAAGAACCCTCAGCCGGCTTAAGAAACCTACCCACTTGAAACTTTCCCGCGTTTTACGAATTCTGTCCATCTTGGGTCTTGGGGATTGATTCTCGCAATTCGGGGAATTGGGTTCCGTCTAAAAGGATGGCCACTGGTGGAGCCGGAGCCCACCAGGACGAAGGGGACAAGACCCTCTCCGCTGCTACTCCTGTTGCTGGCGGGGCCGTCGCTTCCAGAGGCGGCGGCGGTGGAGGAACCAGGTCGTGGGGGACTACCACCGCCTCGGGCGGTCAATCGGTGTCGACCAGCGGCAGCGTGGGATCTCCCTCCAGCAAGAGCGAGCAGGCTATCGCCACGCCGGCCAGCGATAACACTTACCTACGGCTGAACCATCTCGACATTCACGCCGACGACGCCGCTACCCAGGATGCTGCGGCGTTAGTGACCTCTCTGATTTCCCTTTCTTTTGCTTGTTGGATATGTATACAATATGAGAGCTGAATCTAGTGGTGGGCTATCGATTTGTTTTGGTACCTGAATTGATTGTTCATTAGTGATGCATCCGGATTGGTTAAAACGTTGGTTCGATTTGTGAGAAGTGAGTTCAAATTCTGCCTTAGAAATGTCAAATTTGCAGCTCTGCGTCAGATTAACATTATTTCCAGGCTCAATCTGTGATTTGTAGTGTTAGATGGCTGCCATGTTCTTTATTTACATTAGTTGACTAAATGGTAATTGGGTTTGCGGATGTTCTTTCTTTGTGGAGTGGAGCTTTGTTCATGGTAAATTCCTCATGATAAATTGGTTTATGGAACAGTAACAAGAAGAAGAAAAGAGGTCAACGGGTAGTGGGAGCTGATAAAAGCGGTAGAGGTCTCCGGCAATTCAGCATGAAAGGTAACCCGATCCTTCCCTTCTTATCTATGTCTCGCGAAAGCTTGACCGAGTTATGTGAAGTGAGTTCAGTGAACATTGAACATTTACGAATTCCTTCTGAGTAAGCTTCTTTGTGTACTGTTTGCAGTGTGTGAAAAAGTAGAAAGCAAAGGGACAACCACTTACAATGAGGTCAATTAATTCTTTCACATTCTTGCTTTCAATTATGTTTTTCCCCACGGTGTAATGGTTGAAGTATTTATCTGAAATTTTGTGTACTTGTGCTTCATCGACTGTTATCTGAACACTTGTCGAACCATTGATCATTCTCTTGCTAATGACCATGGCATTTTCCTGCAATAATAAATTAGAAAACACATGTTTATCTTTGATAGAACAGGACCAAAGTGATTCTTCATGTCCTTCCCTTATTATGGGGTTTTCTGTCTTCTTCTTCTCATGGGATCTTTGGTTGGAGAAATTTTCTGTCTTCTTCTCATGGGATGGTTGAATACTAGAATTATGCCAATCTGGTTGAATAACTCATCGCAAGAACACCAAATGCGTTGATTTGTTTTGTGGCATCTATAAGTTTCCTTTTCAATAAGTTCATTCGGGTTTCTGAGTAGCTCTCATTCATTCTCAGGTGGCAGATGAACTTGTGGCAGAGTTTGCTGATCCTGGTGGTGCTCTTCCAGCAGGCCCAGACCAGGTCGTTGTATTGATTAACCAGTTCATAGTCATTGCTTTCTAATGTGTTCATTAGAGGAAATGAACTTAAACCCTAACTGCTACCTTTCCCTTTTTGTTTCATATGTGAACTCACAGCAACAATATGATGAGAAAAACATACGGCGGAGGGTGTATGATGCCTTGAATGTCCTCATGGCTTTGGATATCATATCAAAAGATAAAAAAGAAATTCAGTGGAAAGGTCTTCCTCGGACCAGTCTGAGTGACATTGAAGAACTGAAGGTACAACTAGCCTATATAGTTATGATTGGCTTATTTTTGTTCGTGATTGGGGTTTTGTGGATCCAATATAGACATATCTGACACTGCAAATGTGATTATTGCAGGCTGAGCGGCTCTCATTGCGAAATAGGATTGAAAAGAAAGCCCACTATATGCAAGAACTGGGGGAACAAGTAAATTACAACTATATTTGAATTGAGTCCTAATTAATCATTTGATGGTAGAGTTGCTTAATTACTCTCCTTCCGTCTCTAGTATGTAGGGCTTCAGAATTTGATACAACGAAACGAGCACCTATACAGCTCTGGAAATGCTCCGAGTGGGGGTGTGTCACTGCCTTTTATTCTGGTGCAGGTAAATCATTTGGTTGCATTTGTGAATAATTTTTTTTGCCCCAGTGGCATTACTTCTGAGTTTTGATAGCCTCTTCTTAACATCTTATCCTACTTTTGACAATTATGACCATTTGATCATCTGTAGACTCGACCCCATGCAACTGTGGAAGTAGAAATATCAGAGGACATGCAGCTCGTCCATTTTGACTTCAATAGGTAAAGAACCCCTTAGCCTGCAGTTATACTATTTGCTTCAGCTGGCAATTTCTGCACAAGGCAGCAATTTCCCAAAAAAACCTTCACCACTTCTACTAGTTGTTTTAGTATATTTGCTCCCTGCATAACATCTCCATCTCGGTACCTTTCTTGTCGCAGCACCCCGTTTGAGCTCCATGATGATAATTATGTTCTGAAAGCAATGAAACTCAGTGAGGGACCTCGTGACACCGACTCCCCGACACCAAACATGGTCATCAGCATAGATGAGGAAGGATCTAGAATGTTCCAGCGGGGGCAGCAACAATTGCTTCCTGCTGCCATCACAACTACTCCAGTCAGGCCTACTCCCACTTCGCCGCCCATTCCCGGGATCATTAAGTCACGGGCGAAGCACGAGCATTGACCTGGCGAATGACATCTCTTGATCCGCTTTTTGTGTATATCGGTGTAAAGTAATCGATGCCTTAGAGAAAAGTGCCCTAGCGGGGGGATGCCCTTGGCTTCTCCTCTTCCCCCTGCTGGGTTAATGGCCACCCTGTGTTCTGCAGGAGATATCTAGTCTGATAATCCAGGTTTGTAAGGCAAATCCTTCTGTCGTTTTTTTTCTCTCTCGTCACTGTTCTAGATGAGATCGAATATTTTGTTGTTGTTGGTGGTCATGATCATTGTAGTAGATTATAGGGTAGGGTAAGTCGTAAGCCGGGTTTGCCTTCTGGTGCTGTTTAGGCCGCGAAAAAACAGAGGATCTGTTCAGGCATAGAGATTAGAGAGAGCTATGTTACATGTTACGGGAGTTTTATTTAGGATATAAAACGAATTGGATTCACTGTAATTTCATATTCATCCATTCTTATCCTTCACCCTTAACTCTGCACGGTGGGTTAGTTTAATATTGAGGTTCAGATGAACGATGCTCAGCTAGGCGTTGAACCATTCCCGCCAAAACCAGTTTAATAATGGGTTCCAAGGGTTGTGCTGCTAACTTGTGCACAAACAACACTCAAGACATTTGTTTTAACGGATCATACATATTCAGGATTGAGCGGTTTACAAACTAAGGACCGACCAAGGTGAAGGGAAGACAACATCAAGAACTGCAATCCACAAAACGGTATTGTTATGCTTTGCACATGAACAATGCTCTGCCGTCGAGGTGGTTCACCTCGTACAACTTGTTGGTCCGGAAGTCGAATTTTCGAACCACGATACTGTGAATCGTCTTTCCCAGGTTGAAGCAATACAGCCGGCTGACGCGAGGAGCAGATCTTCGCCGGACTCGACGAGACAGATTTCAGGGTAGTCGAGGTTGATTGGAGTATCTTAACGGAGGATATAAGGGAGGGAGCTCCAGTTGCAATGAGCCATGTTAACTGCTCCACCAGAAACAGCTTCCCCTGCCAGCAGCCCGCATTACGGCTGGCCCAATGAGCCCGAATAGAGCCCAACATTAAACGCAAACCGCGGAAAGCCCATTAATTAATTTCCCGCTTTATTTCTTCCCGCCCCGGTCATTTTTTTTTAAACATAAATGACTTCGATTTCCTTGGCTATCACGGTCTACGCCCTCAAGGGAAAGTCTAGTTAGGGTTCCCGATGCCGGAACCTCGTCGTCGAGCTCCTCGATATATAAATACAGAGTAAGAAGGAATTGCACGCAGGGCTTCCTTTTACTCTTGTCGATCGAGCTTGCGAATTGCAACTTCCGATGGCCGCAGGTGAATTTTCGTCTCCTTTATTTTCCTTTTTAATTTATGGTCTTCAATGGAGGCTCTCCAGTGAATGTGATTACGTTTGTCTCTCTGTTTCATCTCTCTTTTTCCCCCTTTTTTGGGGCCTGCATTATGCTCTCTCCAAGTTCATCGGTGACTGAAATTCAAGTCTCTGTGTGTATATATGTAGAGATGCAGAGCGGAGAAGAAAGAGTTTCCCGTAGTGGCATGGAGCAGTACGAGGTGATACAAGAGATTGGGCGGGGGACATTCGGCACCGTTACTCTTGTGAGGAACAAGATTTTTTTTTTTTTTTTTTTTTTTTTGATGGACTTGTGAGGAACAAGATTGAAAACAAGATGTGAGAGACCATTTCATTGATGAAACCCACATTCCATTATTAATCGCTTCTTGTTCTTCTTGCTCAATTACCTCTGTTTTTCCGGGTTTGAAATGCTCTGCTTGGATCTTTAAAAATGTCTGCTCTTATTCAAGGTATGCTCTAAAACAGATGCCGGCCAAAACTGAAGATGAATGGGGTCGTTATGAGGTCAGTGGCATCTTTCAGTTCTTCTCGGTGATTTAGAACAGTACCCATCTTCCTCACTTTTTTCGCAGATGGAGCTGCACTCTAGGATAGAACATCCGTTCATTGTAGAGTACAAAGGTTCATGGGAGGAAGAGGTATAGTTGATTTTGAAGGATGGAAAACCTGAAGCTAAGGTTTAATTCGGTAACGAGGATGCTTAAATTGGGTTCCTGCTGCTCATTTTTGTTGTTGATTAGGATGGCACGGCATGCCTACTCTTGGATTATTGTGAAGGAGGAGACATGTATAAGGCTATAAAGAAGGCTAATGGTGTGTTTTTCCTGGAAGAGGTCTTTTCTTGTCCCCTGCCCTTTTTGTTCTCTCTTTTCTAACTTTAGATGGTTGTGTTTACTGAATATGATTTGTGTTGTTGCAGAAGCTATGCAAGTGGTTTGTTCAGCTTCTCATGGCTCTTGATTACCTGCACAGAAACTGCATTCTTCATCAGGATATCAGTGTAGCCGCCCCCACTTCTAGAAACTAGTATTACCATTGACATCATTCATTCTCTAAGACCATATTGGGATGCCTGCTGATTCTGGTTGAAAAATGTTGTTGTTGCAGCCTAAAAACTTCTTTCTCACGAAAGATGACGACATTCGTCTTGGTATGTTATACATTGGTATCATCATATGGGGAACTAGCTAGCTATCCACTTTGCAATTGTAACAACCAGTATGAGGATGGTATATGCAGGTGACTTTGGATTTGCAGAGGAATTGGATTCCCCGGACGACCTTTCTGATAAGGTAAGTGATGGAAGGTGTCATCTTGTTTCCACAAGATGGTTCTCAGCCATTGTAAACCGTCTGTTTCTGCTTTCAGGTTTGTGGATGTGTAGGGTTTATGTGCCCTGAGATGGTTTCTTGGGTACCTCACGGTCCAGCATCAGATATTTGGGCTTTAGGTAAGCTATAGGAGACTGTAAGAGCTTCTTCTTCTTCTTCATAACGTGGCCCTATGCTTATCTCCTAGCTAAATTTTGGTATCCAGGTTGCTCTATGTACCAAATGGCTTCTTTTGAGACTGCATTTTCACTCGGAGACCCATTATTTGAAAACACATTAGAAGTGAGTTTTTGTTATATGGCCTTTGTTTTTCTCTTTACTAAGAATGAATCTATAAGCCATACGAGTTGTTCAATTTCTTTTGTGCTGCATATGTTTCACTTTCACCGCCTCTTGGGAAGCACAGGGTCAGGAAGAGCTGAACAGGAGAATAAAAGAAGTCCCAGTGTCTCCACTTCCAACCGAATATTCCGGTGCCTTGTAAGTAAAGTTAAAGATTATGCTCCAACAAAATGTTCTGGTTTACTCTGTTAGGGCCTTGTACTAAACTCGATCATGGTTTTGGACTTTTGGCAGTCGAAGTCTCGTCGACAGGATGTTGGAGAAGGACCCAGCATTGCGGCCAACGGTATGTGAAATTTCAATCCTCCATCGTCGAACTGATCGTCTCAATTTCCATATACCCAACTTTTGACTGACTGTTGAGAGGGTTACGTGCGATGCAAGGCAGGGGAGTTGCTGAAGGACCCGCATCTCGAGCCATACGTCCTCGAAGTAAAGGCAAAAATCAATGGCTTCCTTGGAGATAATAAGACACTAGTAGTAGGAAATGCCACAGCTGGAGAGGATGAAGATGGAAGATTCTGCAGCAACTCTTCCCCGTCACACGAAAATGCGGCGACGGCTGGAGCCTCGTCTTGCCGGGAGATTGAGGATGCCCTGAGGTTGCTGGAGTTGAGCGCCGAGGGTGGTGGAGGACCGGAAGAATCGAATGAAGGACAGCAGTGCCGCCGGAATAAGTGATTTCTCGCCGGAGGATTGAGACCTCGTTTCACTGTTTTGCAGTTATTGTTAAATTTTTGGCCGACTATACGTTTATGAATATAGTAGGAAGATCATTTATATTTAGTATCATTATAATTACTTTTATCATGTAATTATTTTCTTATTGCGTGATTATCATATTGAGTCAAAGATTTTAATTGTATAAAAAATGGTTTTATAATATTTTAATTAGAAAGGCTACTTGGATCGAACTTATACAAGTCATTTTTCTTTATGCAAATACGATTTTGACTACTTAGTAAGGGAGGAGGAAATGTATGGCAATTTAAGGTCGGATCGGGAAAGAATTCAGTATTTGAGAAACCGTATTATATTAAAGGTTTGATCGAAAATATTGTCAATTAGAACTTAAATCAATAAACAATATTATCGTATGAAGCAGTTAAATTTCAGTTAAACTAAAATTTCACCAAAAATACATTTTCGGTTTTACGATATTAAAGAAGCCATCGGAGCAGGAAAGCGGCGGCGGCGATTCCTCTGCCCGGCGGCGGACAGAGAGCACGCTGGATTAGACTTCCTTGACGGGAGAGGACAGCCCGGTATTCTTGCAAGCCCAATGGGCTGAAGAAGAGCCCAATAAGAAACGCATTTTGTCCAAGGAGCTGAAGAGCACAAGTTGGGCCCAACAGCTTCAAGCATCAGCAATACGACGTCGATTCTATCTCCAACCGACCCTTTGAAGTTCTAGTGCCTCCTTTGCCATCGATCGTCTAGCATTAGGGTTGTATCTTTCGCGGCGGCGCTAAATCCCACACAAAGCCGGCCAACCAAGTTCCGAGAGAGAAGTAGAAGAGAGAAAAATGGGTGGCAAGTGTCCCAGCAGGAAGGTGAAGAAGAGAAGGTTCTCTCACAAGCAGGCTCGCCGCACCAAATTCGAACTCATGGGGGACGACGCGGTCTACGACCAGTTGCAGAAGCCCGACGGCGTTAGGAAACCGATGCCCTTCGACGAGGATTTGCCCGGCATGGGCCAGCACTACTGCTTGCACTGCGAGTAAGTAAACTCCATCTCTGGTTGAACTTATATTACTGGGCATGCGATTTCGGTTTTCTTGTGCTGTTTGGCGGCTGTTTCGATCAAAGTGATGAGCTTTTTATTGAAAGTTTGTACTTTGATGTGTATTCATACATAAGGATAGAGGAATGAATCCCGGGGATTCTAAATTGGTTTGCCCGTTGTTGAATAAAGTGAAAGGTTGGGACTTTGTTATTTTGTGCAAAGGGGCGGAGACATAGATTTCTGTTCGATCTATCCCTCTTTGCTAAGAGCAATCTGGACTGTGTTTTCGTCCTTTGGTGTTCCATGATTTGGCCAATGTTTTGATTTGGGTGTGTTATCTTATCACTTTTTCCAGCCGATTCTTCGCAAACGTGACTGTGAGAGACGAGCATTTCAAGACCAAGAAGCATAGGAGACGGTAAGTGACTGTTGTGACCTTGCCCATAATGTTTGGTGTTCATAGTGTTCTTTAGTCAGGCACATTTTATAGACGAAAGGTTAATCATGCCGTCATGCGAATCTTCCATTGTGCTTAGATCTGCTTAGTGAATTGTTTGTAGCATAATAGTGTCTAGCCAAAAAGCATATGCTTCTACTAGAGGCCCTTTAGCTTCTTCTTTCTTGGTTGATGAAAATTCTATGGTACCAATTGGCGTTTAAGTATCCAAGTCTTATACTGTTAGCCAGTATGAACTCATTCTGTTCAGATATTAGGACCATTTTTTGTTTTGTTTGGCACAAACATTAGGCACCAGCCATGTTGTACTTGTATCCGAAGTGGTATGCTCAACATTGACAACCAGTACGATGTAATGTTATGTTTAGTATTATCAGACTTCAATTTCAGCAAGTTCTTTCGATAGACAAATTCATTTGGGGACTGACCTAGGCATGAGTTAGAGGATCAGAGTGCTTGTATATTCCTTTGAACAATGATGAATAAGACATTAAGATGAACATAACCTTTTCCTCTCCCAGATTGTTGTTAACCATGCATCCCTTGCTTTTTTGTTGTTGTTGTTGTTGCATATACATGCCATGTTTACTTTCATGCATGTCCAGGTTGTGACAGCGTCTGATGTTAACCATTGATGTTTGCAGGGTGAAGATGTTGAATGGACCTAAACCTCACACTCAACTTGATGCCGAGTTAGCAGGTGGGATGGGGATGCCAGACAACGGCCCGAAGCTTATGTCAATGTGAACCTAAAAGATTTAGTTCCTTCTCTTTACCTCGCAGCTTCCCTTTCTGTAGGATTCGTTTTGAGTTAGCAACTTAAAAGGTCATCTCTTAACTTGTGTGACACTGCCCTATAGTGTTTCTCCTGCTACTGCATCAATACAAATGGCAATTAGCTACCATTCTAAGTACCAAGTCAATTGCGAATCGACTACCTTCGCCTCGCCTCTTGCAATTGCATGCTTGTTTCCTTCATGTTGCCTTATTCATGGTTGTATCAATGTCGTTGTCTTGTTCTGTATTCAATTCAATTGAATGGTGTGGTTTAGCCCCTGTGTCTTCTCTGCCAGCTACAGTTGTTTTGTTGTTCATGATTCAACAATCCCTGGAGAACTTGATGTAAAACAATCATATCTCCCTCCTTATCATGCCTGCGTGAGCCTGCCTATTATCGGGCTGAAGCCTGTGGTCGCAAGAACTGCTGAAACAGGAATACAGGGTGGACCATCTCCCTTGTCCTAATCAATGGCTCCTGACCTCCATGGTGGAACACTAAACAATCATGAGATGCGACATAGAGTTGTGCATTTTTAAGTGTCCTGATTCGTTTGTCTGTTATTCAATGTCTTTCAGTGTTCTGGCACTTCCAGTTGGTATTTTAACACGAGTCCTTATAGGCTAAATGTATTTCATCCATTTGAGCTCTTAACCTGCATGTAATTACTGAAGTCGTCATGGGGAACCGGACAAACAGTGTTTTCCAATCCTGAACATTATATTAATCTGTGATATCAGAATGGTTAGCTGGTCGACTGGGTGCAACCAACACAGCTGCCAAGTCCGGCAGAATATCCCAAGATCAACCCGCAACAAGACAAAATATGGATGTTCAACAAAAAAAGAGACAATAAGTACATGAGTGAAGCATTATCCTGGGCGCTGATAGAGGAATTACACAGTAGCAGCCTCTGCAGCTAATGATCATCAACTCCATGATTGTTCCAGCAGTCATTTGTGCTCTGCTGAGCTGGATGTGTGGTGTTGCAGGTAGCAGCAGCTGCAGTGAAGCAGAAAGAGAAGCCCTTGTAAATTTCAAGGCCGATATCCAAGACCCTTCAGGCCGGCTATCTTCTTGGTCTGGCAGTAATGGAGACTGTTGCAACTGGCGTGGCGTTGAATGTGACAATACTACTGCCCATGTCATCAAGCTTCATCTCGGATGTCCTGGTTGTTTTGAGAATTATGTGCTCAAGGGCAAGATAAGCCCTTCCTTACTTGGGTTGAAGCATCTGAGATATTTAGACCTTTCAGACAACAACTTCCAAGGGATTCCGATTCCAGGTTTTCTAGGTTCCATGAGCAGTTTGGATTCTCTTTTCCTTGGTGGATGTGGATTTGCCGGAGCCATCCCTCATCAACTTGGAAACCTCTCAAACTTGCAACGTCTTAGTCTGCGCGCTGGTCATGGCTATGTACTACATGCTGATACTCTGCAGTGGCTCCCTGGTCTTTCTTTGCTACGATATCTTAACTTGAGAAAGGCTGATCTCAGCAATGTTTCCGATTGGCTCAGCATGGTAAACAAACTCCCTTTTCTTTCTGAACTCGATCTTTCGAATTGTCAAATAAGCCATATGCCATCACATTTAATGAATGTCAACCTTTCATCATTGGCTGTTCTTGACCTGCAACGCAATGAATTTGCTCCAACTTCGCTTCCTATCTGGGTTTCTCATCTCAGAGGCCTGACTTCTTTGGATCTAAGGTACAACGATTTCAGAGGTCCAATTCCTGATGAGCTTCAGAACCTTACCTCCATAAGAGCTCTTCACCTGTCCACCAACGACTTCAATGGTTCAATACCAGATTGGCTGTTCAGTTTTCCCCACCTTGAGGACTTAGATCTCATCAGCAACAAGTTGGTTGGTAAGATATCAAGCTCAATTGGGAACTTGACCTCTCTTGTCAACCTCGACTTGTCGTTCAACTATGGCCTTGAATTTGAAGGAGGGTTTCCTAGGTCAATCAAAGGGCTGTGCCAATTGAGCTCGCTCTGTCTATCAGGGACAACTTTAAAGCATAGTGTATCAGATGTGTTTGAAATCCTTGGTGGAGAATGCCCTTCAGAAACACTTCAAGTATTGGAATTGGATAGTTGCCAGCTATTTGGTCAGTTGTCTGATGACATCGGGAATTTGAAGAGACTAAACAGACTGGTGCTCACTGACAACTCCATATATGGTTCCCTTCCAGCGTCATTTGGTGGCATGGCATCTTTGAAGTACTTGAGAATCGAAAGAAACAAAATAAATGGGACTCTTCCTGTGAGTTTTGGTCAGCTGGCAGAGCTGAGAAATGCTGACATTTCTCAGAACTCGATTGAGGGTGTCTTCTCATCAGAGATTCACTTGGCCGAGCTCACCAAGTTGCTTAGTCTCCGTGCAGCTGGAAACCATATCGTGTTGGAAGTGAAACGAGATTGGGTTCCTCCCAAGCAGCTCGAGGTACTGGACTTAAGTTCATGGTACGTTGGACCTCACTTCCCCATATGGCTCCGAGAAATCGAGCATCTCGTGTCTCTTGATCTCTCCAACTCTGGAATTCTAGAACCCTTTCCCGATTGGTTCTGGGGCATGCATTCTCAGCTCTTCTATCTCAACATGTCTCGCAATCAGATCCCTGGGAGGCTTCCAAATTTAATCTTAGCTCCTTCCGTTGACTCATTGTTTGATTTGAGTTGGAACCGCTTGGAGGGTCCCCTGCCAATTATCTCTTCCAACCTGACTTTCTTGGACCTTTCCAACAACTTTCTCTCTGGAGACTTGCTCAACTTCTTGTCCTCCAATCCATCTCAGGTGAGGCAGACAGAGTTTCTCAACCTTCACGGAAACTTGTTGTCTGGAGAGATACCCGATTACTGGAGTAGTTGGCAGAGCTTGAAGGTTTTAAGATTGGGAAGCAACAACTTAACAGGGAAGATCCCAGAGTCCATTGGAAGCTTGAGCAACCTTCTGTCGCTGCGCATTCAGAACAACAGCCTGAGTGGTGAAATCCCTTCATCCCTTGCCAACTGCTCAAACATAGTCTCCATCGACTTAGCCGACAATGGACTGGAAGCCAACATTCCAAATTGGATTGGGGAACGAGGGCTTCAGAAGCTGTCCATCTTAAATCTGCGTGGCAACAAGTTCTTGGGAGAAATTCCTGAGCAGCTTTGTTCTCTGCAGCATCTGCAGATCCTGGACCTTTCCCATAACTTTCTGTCTGGGAACCTCCCGCAGTGTGTGGGTAATCTCAGTGCCATGTCTGGCTCCAGAAACGACGATCAAGGAGTGATTTACTTGTTCTTTGGCGGGGCGAAAATGTTTGTTGAATACCAAGTTCTGGTGGCACAAGGGCAGGTCAAGGCTTACAGCACCATATTGAACTACGTCAGGAGTCTGGACCTTTCATGGAACAACCTGTCAGGCGAAATCCCAGAAGAGATCACAAGGCTTGGGACCCTGAAATATGTCAACTTGTCGCGCAACTCATTCTCGGGTGGGATCCCAGGGGATTTAGCTTCCATGACATCCTTGGAATCACTGGACTTGTCTGGAAATCAGCTATCTGGAGCAGTGCCTCCAGGCTTGGCGAGCCTGACATTCCTCAATCACCTCAACTTGTCGTACAACAGCTTGAGTGGCCGAATTCCTTCAAGCACTCAACTGCAGAGCTTTGACGCATCCAGCTTCATGGGAAACAAGGGACTCTGCGGCCTACCATTGGATTTGAACTGCAGCAGCGAAAACAACTCTTCTGGTGAAGGGAATGAGGTCTACTGGTATGATATGGACTGGTGGTACTTCATCAGCATCGTGCTTGGCTTTCTGGTTGGCTTTTGGGGCGCAGTTTTCCCAATTGCAGTTAACCCAAAATGGAGAAGCATGTATTTTGGTTTCGTGGATCACATGGGGAACAAGCTCGGTACTTTATTGATGCCTAGCGCTGGTGGATCCCTTCCTGCTGCACGAGGATGATTCCTGCAGGTTATTAGTTCAAAGACTTTGTTTCTATGGTTTGAAGCAACTCCGTTTATCTCTTAGAACGTACTCTCACAAAATGCATAAACGTTCCGTGCGTGATTCAATGACGGTGCGTCATGTAAGCATGTTTTTGTAGATGATGTTGTGAATACCATAGATAAACTTTTTTAGAACTTAATCATCACGCTGCGAATCTGAAAATTAAAATGATAGAGATTTCATTCTGTTAATTTATTTGATTGGACACAATTTGTTAAGTGTATATATTACCACGTACTTCAAAAATTTATATGGTGTTAATAAAACTTCAGGAACCATATCAACGATGATTATGTTACCAACCTAACATCTTGATTCAAATTGAAAAGACCTCTTATGTCTTATTAACTCTTCCTCTTTGTCAACTCTTCTTCCTCTTTTCACTTGTCCTTTCATCAAAGAAAAGAGATGAGAGGTGGTGGCAACCCACCACAACTCCAAAAAGAAGCATCCCATGAAAACACCATCATCATCGCATTTGTCATTTCTCCCAATTGCTTTCCTTAAACAAAAATCGCCTTCCACTTCCCACGCTTGTCTACAACAACATAATTCAATCCCATAATCCCTTTCACCTTCCACTCCATTTCTCCTTCAATCTTCTTTTGCTATCTTGGCTTTCAAAGCACAGAACACTTTTGTGTCTTGTGTGTACCCACCAAGTGAAAGTTCCTGCAATAATTTGGTTCCCCACAACAAGCATCTAAAACAGGGATGGTAATCCATATGGGACTAGGATTGGGTAATCTCAACATTTTCCCCCAAAAGAAAAAAACCCATCTGAGGAAAACATTGATTTTGATATCAGTCAATTTTTCGGACATAGAAGTTTCTCATCTTTTTAAGCTCCAAGGTCTGCAGGTCACCCATCTCCATTATTGTTGCTTCCCCACTCCATCACCAATCACTGTTTCAGGGATATGATGGAATCCTAACAATGCACCCTTCCATATTCCTTCCCAATCAATCAAATCCCAAAGTCACTGTCTTTTAGTAGGGTTCAACTTCAAACAAGTTCCGTTGGACCACACTACCTCATACAGTAAATACATCACTCGCTGTACTTTCATTCTTGTCAAAAAGTTGTTCTTCATGTTTAAACATTTACCCATGAAAGATTTTTTCTCAGAAGATTAGACCATATATAATATATGTAGAAGTAAAAAGAAAAATTAGATAATACACATTCCATACTGCTGCTATACCATGCTACTCAGAAACTGAAGACCAAAAGAACCCGAAAGAGGGGGAAATGGCAAATGGGGTATCTGGGAAATGTACTCTTACTGGCATTTCTCTCTCTTTTTGAACCAGACTAGGCTTCCTTCTCTTCATCATCCTTAGGCCGAGTTGAAGAACTCGAACCGGATGTCATTCCAATCACCTGTCCTTGTGTAAACCTCTGCAACTGAATCATCCGAGCATAGATCCCATCAGGGAAGTTCTTCAGTAGATGCGAATGAGACCCTTGCTCAGCCACTTTCCCATCATCAATCACAGCAATGGTACTAGCATTTCGTATAGTAGACAGCCTGTGAGCCACGATGATCGTGGTCTTCCCCGAGCAAGCTCGGTCAAGAGCCTCCTGGACTGACCTCTCCGATTCTGCATCCAATGCACTCGTTGCCTCGTCAAGCAGCATGAGCTCTGCCTTCCTCAGCAAGGCACGAGCAATGGCGATCCTCTGCTTCTGCCCGCCAGACAATTGCACCCCTCTTTCCCCTACATATGTCTTGTACCCATCGGGCAATGAAGAGACAAACTTGTGGGCATTTGCTAGAGTCGCTGCCTCAATGATCTCAGCCTCGGATGCTGAGTCGTGGCCATAGGCGATGTTCTCATAAATGGTGGTGGCAAATAAGCATGGTTCCTGAGGCACTACAGCAATGTGCCGCCTCAAAGACTTCAGATTATACTTCCGAATGTCCTTCCCGTCGATCATCACTCGCCCTGACGATGGATCGTAGAAGCGTTGTACCAATGCAATGACTGAGCTCTTGCCGGACCCACTGGGTCCCACAAGAGCCATGGTCTTGCCAGCTCTAGCTCTCAAGCTGATATCCCTGAACACAGGGATATCTGGGCGACTTGGGTAGGAGAAGTCAACATGCTTCAGCTCCACCTCTCCGCGCAACCTGTCAGGGGCTGGAATGGAGTCTGGTTCGTCCGGTTCGATCTCAGTCTTGCGATCAAGTAGCTCGAAAACGGAGCGCATGGCTCTACCTCCCTTGATGAAGTCCGGAGCTAGAGTGAGGGTCTCGGCGGCACCATTGGCAGAGACCATGAGGACCATGAAGACTCGGATTGTTTTGGAGAAGTCCGAGATGCCGTGCTTCACAAGCCAAGATGCATACCAAAGGCCAAGAGCGTAAGAGGCATAGAGAGCGAACTGAGCTATGCCGTATCCACTTCCAGCAATCTGTCCCTTCCAGAAGCATCTCCGGAGAGGGACTTCGAGGTTGCTGGAGAAGAGGCCAATGATTTTGGACTCGGAGTTGAAGGCTGCAACTGTTCTCAAGTTGGCTATGGCCTCGCCTGCCAGCTGTGTGCCCTTTGCATGGGCTGCTTCTAGGTCCCCTGAGAAGCCTTGCATGAACATTTTCTGTTGAAATCGCAATGAGAAACAACATTCATGTCAATTCATTTGTTAACAACTACATTGAAGATTTTGAGGAAAACAGTAAGTTTGAGACACATTACCTGCAAAACAGTAGCTGCAACAACCACGGGGAAGACAGCTATTAGCACAAGGGCAAGCCTCCACTGCAAGACAAAACCTGCAGTGCAAGCGACCAGCAAGAGTGCAGTATTCTGCACAATCACCGATATTCTATCTCCAATTGCTGATCTAACATTGTTCGCATCAAGAGCCAATCTCGCAGCAATTCTGGCACTCTCATTATCCTCCTGATCAAACCATGCTATTTCATTTTTAAGCACAGCTGCAAGCATCTTCTCCCTCACCCTCTTGGTCAGATTCTCTCCAACAATATCCCAGAAGGAATGCTGCAGAGTGTTAAAGATTAAGGCAGCCGACGAGAGGCCGATGAGCAAGTAGCAGTACTTGGCGATTTCTCTGATCATGTAAGCATGGCTGGGGCTGTAATAGACACTCATGACGGCACTCAGCACGTATGCAAAGAAGGCGCTGAGGGACCCACAGATGATCGAGCCTATTGATCCAACTAATGCATAGCCCAACTCGGGAGAGTTCATCTTGGCGAGTCGCCAGAAGGAGCTGGCCTGCTCCTTGAACGCGAGCTTCTCATGGCGGTAGCTTGGATGCATGCCGTCTAACGAGAGGCTGAAATCCGAGGTGGAGAAGTCGGAGAGGCGACGGGAGTATGGAGAGCGGCCATAGGAGGAGTTTCGTGCAATGATTGGCGAGCTAACAGAGTTCCTAGCACTCGATGGCCTACAACAAACAATACAACATTTATCCAAGCATGCCAAAAAGAGATGGCAGATAGGTTGGGAAAGGAAAGTTTAGCTAGCTACCTGGCACTGCTCTTTCTAGCATTGTTCATCGCTGTCTCGTGTGCTGCCTCCTGCATCCTAATAAGCTTGGCATAAACACCATTCTCTCCCTTGGCAAAGAGCTCGTCATGGGTCCCAATTTCAGTGACAGAACCTTGCTGGAGAACTGCTACGAGGTCAGCCTTCCGAATGGTCGATAGCCGGTGGGCAATGACCAAGGTAGTCCTTCCTATCATGAACCTGTCCAGAGCTTCCTGCACGAGTTTCTCAGATTCAGAATCCAACGCACTCGTTGCCTCGTCGAGGAGAAGAATCGCAGGGTTCTTCAGCATTGCCCTCGCTATAGCTATTCTCTGCTTCTGCCCACCTGAGAGCTGCAGCCCTCTCTCTCCCACCTGCCATTGAAGGAGAGTAACAGTGAAGGTTAATTGAGATTCTTCTATCGTTTTCTGCCAGAAATTGTTAATCTTTTCTTGTCTGATACGAAAGATGTCATCTTGACCACCAACTTAGGGAATAATCAGTTGGGGTTTACTCTAAACCTCCCTTGTCTGTCAGCATCTTAGCTGCTAGTAAGATTCTAACCTGCCTCCTATTTCTTTATTTGGTTTCTACCCTACAAATTTTGTAAGCTTATGGGTCCTCTCCTTTGCTCTGGGTTCTGCCATTAGTATACAGTAGTACCTGATTTCAGCACATGCAATGTTGACCAGAACATGTTACCTTCTAAATGCATGCAGTGCCTAAATCACATCCCCCATATTTGACTTCCTAACAAACCAATTTTTAATACAAGTTAGGTCCATAGTTTTGTTGACTATATAAACAATTTCCAAAATTTTGATTTCCCCCTTGATTGTAACGATAATAATATCAAATAATATACTTTGAAAACCACCCCCACAATTTCGATTATTAAAAAAATATACCCATTATACAAATTGGTCAAAAGAGACCCATCATTTCATTTCACCATCCCAAACCGACCAACTTTACCCCACATAAGGCCACAACCCTCCACCCTTTCCTCCACCTCCAACTGCCATAAAAAGACAATCACTTTGTTTACCTTGCACTTAATCAGCCTGATAATCACAGTGTTGAATCAAATCAAACGTGCTTGGGACAACCATAATGACAAAATGGGGTGACATAATTGGATTCAGATTTTCTTTTTTACCTGAGTGTCAAAGCCATCTGGTAACTTGATGATGAATGAATGAGCATTGGCAACTCTTGCAGCTTCTTCAACCTCAACCTGGTCAGCATCTGGCCTTCCCAGCAGTATATTCTCTCTAATGGAGGTTGCAAACAGGGCTGGCTCTTGGCTCACTAGCCCTATTTGCTGCCTCAACCATCTCAGCTTCAATGTCTTGATGTCGTGCCCATCTAGCAGCACTTGGCCTAACACACGAATACCCAGTAGGGAAAATGGAAAAGAGAAAGAACACATTTTGCGATCAGGACCAAAACCATTTCCAGTTGCAAGGATACAGTTGGGCAGATGCGCATTCATTTTGTCGAACACATGGTGTGCACTCTAGGCTATAAACGAATTGATAAAAAAGAAAGGAATACAGAATTTGTGTTACCTGATTCAGGATCGTAGAACCGTTCGATTAGGGAAACCACCGTGCTCTTGCCGGAGCCGCTGCTGCCGACTAAAGCTATGGTCTTTCCGGCGGGAACAGTGAGCGAGAAGTTGTTGAGGATCCGAACATCTGGCCTTGATGGGTAAGAGAAATCCACGTTTTTCAGCTCTACTAAACCGGTGACTGAGTCTAGCTCGACCCCTGACTCGCTGTTCCGATTCACCGCCGGTTTGTGGTCGATTATGCGGAAGATTTTCGCTGCGGCGACTCTGGCTTTCGCAAATGCGCTCATGCTAGGGGCAGCTTGTCCCAATGCCCTGCGGATTTCGGCAATTTGAGGACCATGACAGGAAAAGGAAGGCGGGGAAAGTTGGAGAATGAGAGAAAACAGAGTACTTACAGTCCTCCAATCATGACGGCGAACATGGTGGAAATGGCGAGGCCGCCATTGGTGTAATTATGCCGGACGAGGTACCCGCCGTACCAGAGAAGAAGCGCGTAGCAACAGAAGACGACGAAGTAAGTCCCGCCGAGTCCAAGTCCTTTGGCCACTCCACTCTTGTACCCCAGCTTCTGGGCGGTTCTCAACGCCGCTGAGTAATCCTGGAGCGATTTCGATTCTCCGACGTACGCCAACACAACCCGAATTTGAACTACTGTCTGCATTTTCCGAGGCTCAAAATTAATCCCACCCAGATGATGAAAATTGACAAATCGGGCTGAAATCGGACTGTGCACTCTACCTGTTCGACGATATTCCCAGCTTGCGACAGAGCTTCCTGGCTCTTGGCGGAGAGCTTAGCGAGCGTAGTCGTGTGAATAGCTGCGATTACAGCAATGAGAGGAACGACGGCCAGAGTTACCAGAGCTAACTGCCATACGGCTGTGAATCCCACCACGAACCCGGAAACCAAAGTCGCCATGTAATGGATGAAATTGCCCAGCTGTAAACAAGAAAGAAACCATTTTTAGTATAAAAAAAGGAAATCCAGCAGCAGAAACAGAGCAAAATTCCTCTGTTTTTCTTCTTCTTCCTCTTCCCATTCCTCTCACCTTCTCGCTAATGGCGTCCTGGACTGTAACTGCATCGGTGTTAATGGCGGAAACGACGTCGGAGGTCCGAACTTCGGTGTCGAAATACTCAATGTCCTGGTTCAAAGCTGCTTCCAAAAACTTAATCCTCATCTTCGTCGTTTGCCTCTCACCAGTCCACATCCAACATGAAATCTCTGCAAAAAGTAAGACAACATTCCAATTCAAGCTCAATTCACAGACCTTGAAGATTACTGAACATGGAAAACCATAATCAACACCAGAAAATATTCTCCCTTACCTGCCCACGAGGATGCCCAGATTGCTGCACCAACAACCAGAAAATAGGAAGCATACTGCAAAAGAAAAAACAGAGGATTAAGAACTTAAAGTTCGAAGCTTTATGGTGGCATTCTGCGTTATTTGACATTCTGAAACTTGCTCCGTTTCCAGTCTCTACCTTCAAAACTTCCTGGGTCATCTTATCCATATCATTGGCATTAGACCCAAACGAGTTAACGAGATCGGCGAAGAATCGGAGGAACAGGGGAAGAGAGCATCCATGGACGAAAGCGCCTACCGACCCAATTCCCATCAACACGTAATCCAATCCATCGGCAAATCTAAATAGCTCCTTGAACCCGACGGCGGTGACTTTCCCTGTCTTCTCCCCTCCATCGCCGGCGACCCTGCCCCCGCCGGAGCCGACATTCTCCTTCTTGTTACTACTACTAGTATCATTGCTATTGCTGCCGCTTTCCATTTCTCGTCTCTCTACGGTGACTGATTGTTTGTCTTGTTCGTGTGGTGAAGAAGATGAATTGGGGGCTAGAGAAGGAGTGGGAGGCGCAGAGACGAGCTCAAGGCCTTGCATTTCAGACCATTTCCACTGCTCAATCGGATCTTCGTCTTGTGACATTTATTTATGTAGAGGGATTGAAGAAAGAGAAGAGGGGTTTGGAAAGTCTCCTCCTTCCTCTCTCACTCCTCTCTCTGTCTCTTTCTTCTGCCTGTGGAAGGTTTATAATTGCAAACAAGAAAACAAAAGGGAAAAAGGAAAAACCTCCATAGCCTCACTCACCTCACCACCACCACCACTTCTCTCTCTCTCTCTCTCTCTCTCTCTCTCTCTCTCTCTCTCTCTCTCTCTTTCCTCTTCTGGTTTTCTTGCTTTCCCACTCTGCTCCCGCTTTTTTATCTACCTCCCATTCTCGCTCACTTCAGTCGTGGGTCAATTAAAGAAATGGCCACTCAACTCTTTGGTAATTGACTAGTCAGTCCTTAAATTTTGATTTGTGACATAAATCAAGAATAATTATAATAATCGCTTTATTCATCTTCATTATGATCTTGGCCAATTTTCGAAGGTTAACATGTCAACTCCTAAAGAATAATGAAAATGATTACATAGCCACGGTTTAGCTTAGGTTAAAGACTCGTTACATGATCTTATTCCATAGTAATAAGACCCGCCAATACTTGATTTAACTCTAAAGATATATTACTTGAAACCATAGTCCCCTGATTTGGTAGCTAAATAGAGAGGGTTTATATGGCATTTTTCATTACTAATCATATTCAATATAATCACTATCGTAGCGGTTTTTCCTATAGACTCATTGCATGATCTTACTCCACGATAAGACCAACGAGAACTTGATCTAGCTCAAAGATATATTACTTGAAATCACCATAACTTCTTCGTCCCAAAGTCCCTTAACTTGGTAACTAACTAAAGAGGGTGTATATGCCATTAGACGTTTGATTTCCCAGAATTGGGTGGTGCAGTTAGTTCACACGTATAGAGAGGGGAATAGAGTCGCGGACTGGCTCTCGAAGCACAGTCTCGTCTATCCCTTCGGTACGTGCGAGTTAACGAATCCCCCACGAGAGCTGGAACATTTTTTGCGAGAGGACATTATTGGGGTTAGCTTTCCCCGAAGGGTTATACAGAATACTGAGTAGCTGGTTTTCTTGGTTGTAGTTTGCAGCCGGGTAGATGGCTCGGGATCTTTCGGTTTGTTTATTAGACTGTCCCTTTTTGTGGGTTCCCTTCCCCCAGTCTACTGATGTCAATCAGGGACTTTTTTGTTGGGGATTGACTTTGTAATTGGTCTCTGGCTTCTGCCTCCCTCTCTTCAAAAAAAAAAAAAAACTGGGTGTATATGAAATTTTCCATTATGATGAGTAAACCATTTACTAATATATTCAATATAATCAAGATCGTGGAGGCTTTTCATGGTGCATGATTTAAATGGAGTTAGATTGCACATCAGACACCAAGTCGATCAAATTTTATGAAATTTTTTGTTAATTCATAAGAGATAAGAAAAAAGTTAGCGATACACATGAGAAGGAATTGGTGATACGTAGACAACTATGACTACGCTATTAGGACATGACTACCCATTTGTCATTCACCTTTTGTTCTCTCATGCTTTCAACTCACACCATGGACTGTTTTGCGAGGGAGGAAAACAAGTGTTGAAAGCGCAATGACTTGATAATGGATGGGATTTTGATCATCATTATTATTATTATCATCATTTTTCATTGAATATAGTATATATGGTATGGCCATTTTTGCTTGTAGTGTAGAAAAACATACAAAAGAAAGTGACGGAAGATGAGATTTGCAGAAGAAAGAGAGAGGTTTTAATTTCCCACCCGACAAACAAACGCACACTGATTCAGTAGTACTGAGATTGGAGAAGAAGAAGGGCAGGCAGGCAGAGAGATTTTGACCAAATGGAGGGTTTTGATCAAGGCTCTGCTGATCTGCCCATCAACTCTTTGCTTGGTTGCATGCTTCCCTTTTCCCCCCTTTATGATGTGTTGTTTTCTTGTTGTTTAGGGCTTTAGACCCCTTTTGTTTTCCTTGCAAAAGGTGCATGCTAATGCTAGCTAGGTGCTTTTACTAGTTGTTGGTGCTCAGTTTGGTTCTTGAGAAATGTTCATATTGATTTTGAATCTTCTAATTAAGTTTATAGGGTTTCAATAAAACAAACTGTATGAGTCCGGGCGATTGTGCGTCACTCGGGTCCAAGGGGTTTGGGGAGTCAGACATGACTTTGAGGGGGTAGGCGCCCCACCTCAGCTGAAGTGAGAAAAGTGAAGAAGTATATAGAGAGAGAAAGTAGAGAGAAGTTAGAGTAAGAGTAGATAGATCGTCATTTATGAGGAGAGAACTCTTATTTATACACATTTGAGGGTTAGGTAGTGGTCTGGGCACCTGCCAAGCCATAAATGCTGTGGTCGGGCGCCTCAGACCTTCTGACACTGTACATGGTACTTTTTGACAGAGGGTGTCCCCCTGCCCCTTGTCCTTGCTGATGTCAGGTGCCTGGTCTTGTCTTTTGTCTCTCAGCCTTGTCTTTTTGCTATTTTGTCTTCTTTCCTTCTTTATGCCATTAGCTAGAGTTTTGCCTTGGGGATTCTCGATTAAAATGTAATCCACAGTATGAACATGTATGTTGTGTCATGATAAGATTAAAAGTACGTAGTTCGCCATTTAGCCATAATAAGTAGAGACCGTTCCTTTTCTCATCTATATGTTTCAAAATGTACTGAACGAGCAAGGAAATGTGTAGGTGATGAGCAGTGGCGGATCCAGGGGGTGGCCACCCCGGGCCCCGGCCCAGCCCTCCTCTGGATCCATAGTTAGTATAGGCCTTATAAATTTTTCGATTTTAGATATTCGGGTCGTTGTTAGTTTAAAATAAGATTGGGTATAATTAGAAAAATAATTCAGATGAACATATTCAAAATCACTACTCTAAATTTAGCTTATAAATTCTAACCCCAAAGGTTATTCGTCTAAAAAAATAATGAAACCTAAAAATTCAAAAAGTTTAAAACGTAAAAGACTAAAACATATATGAGGTTTGTTACCTTGGAAAATTTACTAGAGCAGCTGGTGGATATAGGGATGGAATCACAATGCAAATTGATTAGTAGATTGATTTGTCTAGTGTTGATGCTCCTCGTTTCAACAGCTAATACGAATAGAACCTTTTCAACAACGAAACATGTGAAAATTGATTTGCGTAACAAAATGAGCGATGGATTTCTAGTCGATTGCTCAAGTATTTTATTTGAAACAGTGTATACTATTGGTATGGATGTGGACTCCATTATTAATGCATTCGCTAAATTAAAATACCGTCGTGTACAATTTACATTGTAAAAAAATTATAATCATTATATTTTTTTACTACTCTAATTTTTTAATAAAATGCGGCCCAGTGCACTTCTGTGTTCTGGATCCGCCGCTGGTGATGAGTGGGTGGAGCTGAGCAATGTCCTAGCGAGTAGCGACCGTTCTATCTCTCATATATGTTTCAAAATTTACTTATGTTTCCAACAATTGCTCCGAATTGCCCCTCCCCCCCCACTATAGCCCCCCACCATTGTTGTTACAGCCTTACAGAAGTCTCTTGTCTTGTAGACTCTCTTCGATCGAGTTTTTGTTATTTCGTTGAATGATCGGAATATTGCACGACTAAATTATATAAGAGATAGAGTATGAATTCACTCAACACATCCACTCTTTATGTGCACTTATTTCACCTACAATTGTTTAACTATCAATTTCCAACTAGAAAAAGCATGAGGTGGGTGTTGGTGGTGGTGTTCCTCTCAACCCGGCGCCCTTTCCTACCGGCGCCAGTAAAATCCCCAACTGTTCATTAACACCGCCCAGCTGCTTGCTGACTGCTCTGCTCTTTTCTCATGTGCACCGTCCAATTTTTGAATTTTGTGTTAAAAAAAAAAACTTGATCTTTCTGTACCAATCAAATTGTAATAAGTTGTAACTGACTTCCAACTGTTGTATAACAAGGTGGTTGTATTTTTATTTCGATTTCTGGGTCATGTTTGACTGATCTGAACATGTAAAAATAAGACTGCAGCAGCAGTAGCATAATACTCCCTCAAAAATAATATATAATCCACCTCGTGAGATGCAAAAATATTAGTAGAAACTGTCGGTCGGTGGAATACTGTGAACTAAAAACTGAGCCAGTTTTTTTGTGTCAAAGTTGGGCAGATCGAGTAGTTTGCCATTTTTCACGGCTAGCCTGTTGGTCCAAGTCCAAACCCACCATGTTGTTATTGCTACTTGCTAGTATCATTGAGAGTTCAACCATCCTTTGCAAGCAAGGAAAATAAAATGGCTCTCTCGAGATTAAGGTGTATTCGAAAGTTAAGGTGTGTTACTTATATTTGACGTCGTTGAAAAAATGAATCCTGATTTTGTGTAATCATTACAGTTTTTTTTTAATCTAGTCGGTTTCATTTATAATTAGTCCTAGAAAATGTAGTGACATCTGGATCTGTTTCGTTATAGAATCTCGCGATCCCTCAATAGACCTAGTATATGTATGTGCATCATTTATTTTCATAGGTTTTAGCCTTTCAAAGCTTATAATCGGGTTGCCAAATCTCATACCTGAGATAGTGATTTATTACCACTAATAAGAACCAATTCTGGGTTGTTTGTAGGTGATAATTAATCATCTAACCTCCTAACGCTTTCCAAATCCCGACATTATTAAAAGAGAATGCATAAACATATTTTCAACGAAAATAGGTTAACAAAATCATCTGAAACTCTCGAGATAGTCAATTTAAACTAGAGTACTTTTCGTCCATCATGATGATCATGTTGCATGATTAAGAAACAAATCCAGTTCAGCTAAATCAATATCCTCTACCACTATATACAACATTTCAACTTCTTTTCACTCATTTCACATTGAGAAAATGTGAAATCCTTTTTAATATCAGAATTACACCTTTATTTTTCCTTGACTTATATATTTTTTTTCTGTATGTCAGACCAAAACAAACTAATATTAACTACACATGCATATGCAGATGCGAACGCCATTTGTAATATTGCTACTAGATGTTCGCCATACTTTGTTCCCTATGGGGATAAATAAATTAATTCAGCTGCAGCAGATATTAAAATAGTGAATTAATTAATTAGGGAAATTTTTGTCAGAAAATCCTGGGACAAAATCGTGGGCGGCAAATATTTACCCCTAAGTATTTTTATATATTTTGAGAAAATTGAAAATTTTGGTATTTAAATAGGTAATTAACAACTAGTTCAATTCACCTGTAAAATAACAGCAGCTAGTTCATTTTGAGGATTATATAATTTAGGAAAGATCCAACCATCAATTTTTTAGATTCTTTGGTCAATTACATAAATGTTCACTGAAGTCCAGGGTCACTAATAAATGTACGTTATCAAATTTAGTATCTAATCAACTTGTCACTGAAATTTGGATCAAATTAACCAAAAAACACAGTAATCAACTTTATTCATCTACGTTAAAGTCTTAAATTCAAATCGTCTAAATTAGCCAGTCAACTTAATTTCAGAAATCGAAGCTAAATCATCAATTTGTTTCTAATCCTAAATTAGTAAACCTACATGACCCTAAAATATCCACACACAAAAAACACCAACAACTCAATATATGTAACACCTTCGGCAAATCCCACATCGACAAAGCACGGGAGAGATCCATGGTTCATAAGTAGGAAACCGACCTTAACTAACAAGACGCGTTTTGGGGTGTAATGGAGGAGTTCTTCTGAGAACTCCGAAGTTTAACGTTAACGTGCTCAGTGTGGAGTACAACAAGGATGGGTGACCTTATGGGAAGTCACCCTGAATTGCACTCCAAGTCGAAATCCGTGCGAGTGTAGAGGCCCAAAGCGGACAGTATCTTGTCGGGAAAAGGTTCGGGATGTTACAATATATGTCAAACTCGTATAAACTCATCATATATTATACTTCAATAACATAAAAAACCATCAGAACTCTGCACAAAAATTTGAAACAAAATGTTGATCATCATTAACAAATATAATCAATAAACCCCAGAATCAATCAACAAAAAAAAAACAAGAAATTCAAAACAACTAGAGAATCAATACTCTTTGTACAAATTGCTTTAAACAAAAAAAAAAAAAAGAAAGGTTCTGTTGCTTGGTCAGAAAGCTGGAAGCTTGGCAGAGGTCAGCAATTCTTACATAAACAAAGGGAGCAGAGCTTGCTTCAATGATGCCATCTTTCTCCCCCCACCATGTTTTGTAGTTATATATACCAACTGAACTGAACTCAGACAGCAGCAGAAAGAGCTAGTCTCCCTCTAGCTCTCCATTTCTTAGCTTAAAATAAGCAAAACCCTCCTTAAAACCCTACAACCTGACATCCCTGCAAATTCCCAGAAATGGTGTGTGGTTATAATCATACAGTTCATTCCTCTTTATTTTCCAAGTTAGGGTTTTAATTTAGTTCCAATTATTATGTCACCAAGTTTCCTCAATGGTGAAAGCTTGGCATTCAATTCAGGGGAAAGGTCTCTGTGAGCATTTCCCTCTCTGTTTTTCTCCTACCTTTCTTTCGTTCTTTCTTTCTTCTCTCACGCATACGCCTGCAGTGACTGATCAAAGAGTACGTACGATTCTCCCCTTCACGCACGGGCTCCTTGTCCAATTCCCATGCAAACTCTCTGCTCCAGTACTTCACTTTCGCTACACCCCTTTACCTCCTTGCTTCATTCGGACTGAAAGGTGGGAGGCTTGAACTTAGCTTAGCTAGCTAGCTCGACCAATGTAGTCAAGAAAGATGGTCATGGTGGACGTACGGTTCAAAGGTGGTTCCTTCTCGTTGCTAGATTGTGTGCAAGACTAGTTTTAAAAGGCGGTGATGCAACCGTTTTTACCGTGACACGACGACACATGTATCGGTCGTGTGTCATCTTCAAATGATCCGACTTCAAATATTGTGGGTGAAAGAGAATTCAGACACGAGATCTCTCGGAATTATGATATGAGGTCGAAAGCGAATTCATTCAAGTGATTCTATACCGAGATGATCTATTGCACACGACATTTATTATGGATTGTGTTAACACTTTCACTTTGAGAAAGACAAAAAAAAAAAAAAAAGTCTACCATGCACTAGTAATATAATTGTGAATCCGTACCGCATCAGCGGTCTGATCAGGAAAACATCCTACATGAAACTAAATCGATGGACAATTTTTTAGTAGTATAAGTGGTTGAGCCACGGTTAATTACCACGATTTCAACACAAAATAGTCTATCACTTACTTTTTCGATACAATCTCCGACATAATTTTACAACCGTTGTCATGTTGTCATAGTCAAGGCATCACTTCATAGGGAGAATGGGGGGTCATGGGTTAACCGTATGCACAAGGGTACGTAACTGCAAGCGTACACAACTACAAGCAAGCAAGCAAGGGGAAATGAAGGATGGGACGAAATAATAATGGGGGAGAAGGTCAGGTGGATTGAGACATTTCTCCATCAGGCCGGCCTTATCTCTATGGGACGGCAAGATTTTCACAAGGGGGAGTTGGTGCATCATCAATGCACGTCGGAGAAATTTTACAATGCTATATAGTATTGGTGCTATAAGGTTTTGCTTTTATGGTACAACTTAAAATTGTACATTTACGTTATGATATAACTTCAGATTGTAGCTATACTTTTTGTACAAATTCTTTTATGGTACAATTTGAACTTGTACTTTTATGTGATGGTACAACTTCAAGTTGTAAAGTTGTATCATAACTAATGCTACAAATTGCTTTATAGTGCAACCTAAACTTATACATTTAATGTTATAATGTACATTAAAGCAACAATACTATATAGCATAGTATAGCGTAGTAGAAGTGCTCTGCACATTGATGCGTAACTTACTCAGGGAAAGGACACCTATACGCCGTCTCTTTAAATGCTCCCACCAGCATCAGCAGTTTTACCCTCAGATCCAAGGGTAGGTAAGTTCACGACCCGATGATTTTAAGGCATGCAATGAATTGACTGATATAGACTTTTAGTAACCACTGGGTTTGGTGGTCGCCGTTTGTGTGTAAGGTAAGTATTAATTATTACTGTTGCAGTTGGGTATGGTAATAAGTAAAAAACGTGTCATGGTGAAATGATTTACAAAGGCAAAATACAATGGTGATCCAATTCCATACCAGAGAAAAGGACTTAGCCAAAAGCATGCATGGATTGGTGGTTGTCTCCCGAAAGATGTTGGCCGCCGTCACCATCAACACCAGACAAGATAGGTAGATATATGATTCCTCCACCCAAATGCATGGCAAAAGGGACAAGAAAAATGAGTTTTTATTATCTTTATCTTTTCAGAAGAAGAAGCAAAATGTAGTCTCGATTAGTGATATGTTTGTAATTAATTAAGAGCATGTAACTTATATGTCAACTTTCATTCCATTGATAATGTATATAATGTTTGGCCCGGCTTTTAGAAGTGATTTTCGAGTTCAAAAGCTAAAGCAGGGCCAAACACCTGTAAAAGCTCGGCTTTTGTATAACATAAAAGCAGAAGCTCCGATTCGGAGCTTCTGCGAAAAGCTGTTTTGAAAATACAAGATTATCCTTACCTTATTTTAATTTTATTTTAAAAAATATAATTTTCCTTCATTTATATCATTTTAAAAATAAAAGAAATTATAAAATCATATTATTTAATATAAAAGAAATCTAACAAGATCCATTTTTACTACTTTTTATTGTTTAGAATTTTTATTCATATTTTATATTATAAGTCCTTTATAGTCATTTTACACAACCTCTTATATTAAAAAGCACTTTTAATAGTTTTAGAATCAAACACTCAACTGCTTTTTTTTAAAAATACTTATCTAAAAGCTCCAGCTAGAAGCTGCTTCTGCAAAAGCTACCGCAGGGCCAAACTAAACTATAAATTGATTTGACCCCTTACGATTACACGAGTATCGAATAATTAAATTGCTGATGCTTCCCGATAAATTGTGTTTTTGTTCTTATAGATAAAGAAGGGGACCGGCCGATTCTTGTGCATGAAAGAATGGTGATTCCTAGTGGAATTAGGATTAGAATGCAGGGAGACTCACCCACAAAATTAAACATGCAAGCAATTAAATTAGGTTATGGATAACAGGAAAGGGGAAATTGGAATAGTCAACCTTTGCTTTCGCTTTCCTTGATACATGCAATAATCGATCGCCCCCAGTTTCGTATGCAAGCCAAGGACTCAAAAGACACACAAACAACGAATTAAAAGTATATAGTTTAATTAATTAGGAGACAATTACTATAAAATATAGCCTGCAGTGCACCCAAAAAAAAATACAGATCTAAAAATAGTTATTATAAATTATGATAATATGATATATGCTTGTTTCCCATTGGCATAAGGACACATGAGC